TAGGATGATAGTTTTTATATCGACTTTCTCCCCCTTTCTTTTAGAGATCATGCCCATCGTGCTCAGTTTCCACTAATTGGGAGCTTCACCATCAATTATTGCTTTGCTCGCTGCCTCATCTCTTAATGCTTGCTTAGAGTTTGGTTCTAGTTTATTAGCATGATTGGGATGCCATCAGGGCCTGTTGATGTGCTGTTAGGAACCCTTTTCTCCGCCCATTTCCACTCTCGTTGTCTCAGTGGAGCCACTGAGCTAATTAGTTAGTCCGTCCTCATCTGGTACGGTGCTTGCAGCGTTTTCTTGGTGTTTAAATGTTTGTGTCATCGTTGCTTTTATATATTCCATTGCCTCATTCCCTTCTAGTCTGACTCCTTGAACTGTAGCTAGAAACCTCTGTTCCATGCTTGTCTTATTACTCAGAGAATTGAGATCCTTCAGTAACTTCGCAGCTGCCTTTCTATCTTTTTTGTTTACTTCCACCATCCATTGGGCCCCGTTTTTTCTTATATTTTCACTGATCAGATGGGACACTTCCCTTCCGCAACTCAAAAAGCTATCCCATTTTTTTTTTTTACATCATCTTCTAGTTCACCCATCTGTTTAGCTTACTTGTGTTCCCTGGAGGCGTCCTGGTGTCTTACTATGGCTCTCTAAACTTCCTCATCCCACCACCTCTTGGGTTCGTGTCTTTTCCCGGTTGATTTCCCTCGTACCTTAGCAAACTCTAACTCAAATAATCGAGTTAGATTTGTGTATGTCCACTCTGTTTTAGTATCCTCGGTGATTATTTTCTCCATCTCTTTAGTTGCTATTTCTATTCGCCTTTCTGAATAAATATTACCGTGTGGTTCTCGTAATGCCACCTTTCCAATTTCATTTCTCTTCCAAAACTCAGCTTGATACGTTTAAGATCACTACCTAGGCTACTGGACCCATATTCATCTATGTTCATCAACCTCAGCCGATCATACATCCTATGTGACATTTTTGCGTAATCTATCGTCGACTGCAGCCTTCCCACCTCCCATGTTAGAGGCAGGGCCGCAGCGCCCCCCTCAAGGGAGTGGCGAGAGGGATGTTCTACACCCGATGCGAAGGCCGTAAGAAGCGAGCGCGCAGGTGCAGTCTAGCCCAGCCATGGCGAAAGCACTCGGGCGCACAGGATGTGCCAGACGCTTGGGCAGTTCGGGCACTGCTGCGCCATGTGTTCATCGAGCGGCCGGGCCTCGGGTATACTATGAAAGCATAACTCTATGGCTGAAAGGGTACGCTGGTGGCGTGTGTTCGTGGAACGCGCACTCGCGAAAGTGTGCAAACAATATGGCATTTGCGATACCTTCGCGAAACCTAATGCGTCATGCTGCAGATTCTTAGCACCGCTATAGTGTACTAGATTCTAGTACACTATAGCAACACCGAGTTTACACGGACAGCAGTGGCGCTGTCATCGAGAATGTCACCACTGAGCGCCATGGCAGAGAGAGCGAAAATGGCCGCATGCTGGGTGCTCCTCCCGAAATCGAGGTGGTGCCCCCCTCCCCCCACCAAAAAAAAAAAATTCTGGCTACGTGCCTGCCTTAGCCACTAGACCACCGCGGCGGGGCTAATTTACGTATTATAAATATCTACTTTTATGATGCAGCCATCGCGTTCCTTTAAAGGACCACTCACCACCCCGCGTTTAAAGACGAGGGATTGATTTTCTCCTCTCCTTCGTGCACATGATGCATCCTCCTCATCACTTAGTTTTTGAATGCACGTGAACAATATCAGCACTAAGCGCTAGAGCCTATCAAGATTTAGCGCTTCTCGGCTGCACGCTGTTATCGCCGTTTGCGCAGTTGTAAACACAAAAAAATGAAGTTTGATTCGGTTGATTGTGCACGATATTCATGCGAGACAAAGAAGAACGGATGGGCAGCGGCACTGGGCAGTGTTGGTCGCGCCAGTCGGCGCGTTATCACCTGACTTTTTTTTTTTTTGCCATGCTTACAGCTGCTGTGAGTCAAATGCCTAACACTCATAATTGGCAGACGTGGAGCACGCTATTCAATGGGGTTAAGAAGAAACAGATGAGGGGGCTTGAGAGGATACCGGTATCCGTGTGTAACACTCATCGTAGGAATTTGTCAAGTCTTGACGTGAATACTAAACGACTAAAACGAAGTGGACGCAGTCACGAGGATCCTCCTCGCCCTGCCTGACGTTTTTTTTTTCCACTCATCCCGACTCGGAAACAGCACACGTTCGCACGACCAAGGCTCATTGACACCCCCCTCTTCTCTCTTTCACATTCCTTTCTGTCCCCTACCAGCCATTCCCCGTTGTTGAGATGACCTCCTGAGACAATTACGACGTCACACATTTCCCTTGCTTTCAAATTGACTTTAGGAAGGCAAGCGCGCGGGTCGTCGAAAACTGATGCCTTGGGATGCGGCACGCAATCTAGGGAGCATTGTTGCAATCACGGGAGAAACGATCTTGAGCGGCGACCGCAGAAGTGTGCACACTATCGACACTAATGAACACGCTGACAGCCACCGTACGATAAACCGGGAGCAAAGGAAGCAAGCTCCTAAAAAGAAAAATCAAGACAAAAATGGAAAGAAAATATTTATATTAGAAAAAAGACACAGCAATAAGCAGGTAGAGCTAGGCAGAAAAGAGCGAGAATGTAAAGTATAGCGAGAAATTGAAACAGCTAGCGACGACGGGAAGGAGAGAGAAAGCCCAGCTGCACTCTTCCTCAACCACTAAACGCAGGTTACGTAACCTCTTTCTCTTGTTTTTCGGTATGTGTGTATTTATTCACTTTCAATCTTCAACGTTAGTCGTATTCAATACTGCGTATAAGAGATAGCATAATTGGAGCTTCATTTCCATAGCAATGGCAAGCCTACGTTCGGTTCTAGTTGTACATCTCAATCGTGCCAATGCACACTCAATTCTTCCGTTACCGAACAGGCCAAAAGGCAACAAAACTGTACGTGTAGCCTCACAGAAGTGTTTTGGCATGATATTTTTGCTGCTGCTAACAATGACGTTCATGCTGTTGCTGATAATGTGTCGCCCTTCAATCTACCACATGCTGTGATGATTCCTGCGGTTCGACATTTGCGCCACGAGGAAAACCCCTGGTGGTTGAAGTTTCCGGAGCCCTCCACTACGGCGTCTCTCATAATCATATGGTGGTTTTGGGACGTTAAACCCTCCAATATCAATCATCAACTTGCGCCAGAAAATAATAAATGGACTCGTGACAATCATGTATAAGTTTTTACATGCGAAGCACTTCATGAGCAAGCTGGTGGCGTCCACGCTCCACTGCGCATGCGCGTCCCGTCCGCCTTTCTCACCTCGCAACGCCGACGCAAGGTCCGTTCGATTCACCTGCACCGGTCAGAACCGGTTCATGGCTGTGCACGCTAAGTTCAGAAATTTTGCAGCGTGAGTTCAGCGGTGCAGGCAGAGCACGACACCTGAAACAAATGACGATGTGCCGACAAGGTGTTGGCCTTATTTCTTTTCGGTTAATTTACACCGTTCATCAGACACTGACCTATGGCAAAACGCACATGCGGACAGTTTATGAGGCGCAAACATCTTGAAAATACACAGCGCGTTTGTAGAGGCAGGTACGGCGCCTAAGCCACCTACGTCTAAGTGCTCCGTCGTCTGCTCAGCTGCACGCGCGGCTGCACCAAGCCGGCACCGTCAGCGAAGGAGGTGCAGGAAAATCGTGAACCGGTGCTGCACCTTTTCTGCACCTTTCAAAACGAATGGCAGGGTTCAGCGGTCGTCAATACTGCACCGCTGAAACGAATGGCAAGGTGCAGCACCTTGTGAACTGGTTCACGTGGTGCAGGCGAATCGAACGGACCTGCAGTAAGCGTCTGCTAGCCTAAGCTTGCTCTCCCTCTCTCTTCTTTAGGCATCCCTCCCTGCATCGTTTACACCCCCATTGCATATGCGCTTGCCACTGCTCTCTTTCTCCTCTCCTACGCTGTCCCATCACTCGCTTCGCTACGCCGACGCAGCCAGCGTCTGCTCGCGAGTTTCTTCAGTGACAAAACTGACTCCTCGCGCTGCACAACTGTTCACTGGGTACCCCGTATACGTAGGCACTGTATCTTGGCTTAGATTTAGGTGTAAGATAAAAAACACGTGGTGGTCAAAATTTTTAAAGCCATCCACTACGGCATCTCTCATAATCGTATGGTGGTTCTGGGACGTTTAATCCTGACAATTATTACCTTCAAGGTAGTGCTGGTAGGAGATCACTCCTGTGCGTTGTTGATCAATGAAAATTTGCAGCATACGTGTACATTAACTAAAAGCGGATTATGGGTCTCTGTGTTCCATCGGAGTCTTCTGTTTCTCATTTCCAATTGAAGTGATTGGCATGTTGCAGTAGGAAACACCCGTCCATCACTGTAGTGATGAATGGATGTTTCCTTCAGGAACATGCAGTTTGTGGAGGTGCAAAGCACGCATGCGTGCTTTGCTCCTCCACAGGTTACTCCGGCACAACACCACGATGTACACCACCGTCAATGCCGCCGCCAGCGTAAGTGTTAGCACACGCTGCTTCTCACGCAGTCATCCACACATGGTTTCCTTCAGCTGGAGATGGTGTAATGTTTTTTCTCGGAATTCATAGCTTCAAGCACTGGAGTAGCTTCGTAGTAGGACAGGTGATTGCCATGCAAAAGGCCTTGGTTCGACTGCCTCCCACTTCTAGCCAAGATGTTTTTGTCAATTATTTCATCAGCATATACCTCAAATATTCGCTCAAAGAGACGCAAATTTTCGCTCGCATTCAGTGGGGTCTTGGCTCACACTAGAATTTTCGCGAAATGAGCTCGTTAGTTTCTTCGCTTTTACGAACTGCACTTTCAGTCAGGGCTTCGTTGTAGCTCATCCTAAATAGTGCAGTCTGTTAACGTTGCTCAGTATTTCAAAAGTACGAATGTACTATGAGGCTCTTTCTTCTTTTTCAGCCATACTTACTCTATTCTTGATAAACGTCTTGATGTTCGAAGAGCACACGGCCAAGTCTGTGTACCATGGCTTTGTCATGGCCTGCTATTTTTCTCCGGTGCTCGGGGCGATGATTGCTGACTCTTATCTCGGAAAGTTCAGGTAAGACGGTGCACAGTGGGTGCTTCAGCTTCTCATGCTTATGTTTGGGCTTCTAAAATTGTGCTCTTGCAGAACAATATTCTACATATCCATCGTGTATGCCATCGGGAACATCACTCTTGCCGTGTCTGCAGTGCCTGCTCTTGTGGACCACACGTAAGGATTTTTACTATTTGGAAAGGGAAGCACAGTGTGCCAGTTCTCAATTCATGTAAGGTTACACCTTACTCGACTCTTTAGTATGCACTAGTGTGCAGCGATCTTGAATGTTTGGAACTTCACCCATTAAAACATGCGTGTATTTTTGTTTACATATCCATTTTATTTATTTATTTATTTATTTATTTATTTATTTATTCATGTTACCCTACAGACACCACAAGACCTATGAGTAGCAGGGGTTATAAAAAATAATAATAAATTCATGGTAAAAAACAGAATATATAAGCACAAACACAAAAAAAATCAAGACACCACAAACGCCTACCTACAACTGCTTACCCAAAACTTGTCAGTTAACTTACTGACAGTTACTTACAATTACTTACCAACAAGTTGAGCTCTTTGTTATTGTAAATCACTATAAAAACATAAAAGACACTCCATCGAAGGACCGACAAAGAAATTTGTACATTGGATGGCGAAAATGCAACCTAAAATAATGTTACTACATTGTTTATAGGTTGCACAAGAGAACGTTCTCTGCACCAAATAAATTGGGCCGTATATGTGCCATGGTGCATAGGAGGGCACAGGGCGCGTCAAAAAACAGAGGATGTTTCTAGAAACATGCGAAACAGTTTAAGTTATTTTAGAAGTGGTGTATAGCATATCGCTATCTGGCGGTCGCATGTACATCGGCCGAACCGGCCGATGTTAGAATGTACGCCTTTGACTTTAAGCATATCTATCTATCTATCTATCTATCTATCTATCTATCTATCTATCTATCTATCTATCTATCTATCTATCTATCTATCTATCTATCTATCTATCTATCTATCTATCTATCTATCTATCTATCTATCTATCTATCTATCTATCTATCTATTCACCTACGACTTTTAGCTCTCCTGGCCGTTTGGATGAAGGGATCCGTGCCGAAATTGGTATGGCATAACATGACTGTATGGCGAGCATAAATGGCTAGTCATAACATGAAAATCACTACATGCATTTAATGAATAAAGTGATGTACATGTCGTGGTCTTGCTGCTTTTGCGATAATTTCGTTCACACGACATATCGCAAAACTGGTATGGTATGACATGGCCGCACGCCAAACATAAGTGAATGGCCCCAATGTTGAAATTATGACTTGCATGTCATGTAATTCATGACTACACGCCACGCTCATGGTGCACTCGCTGTCGTTTCGCTAGCTTCAAATATACTCAATTTAATATTACGCGGCGTGAATGGGTGAAGGTATGTGACTGGTGCAAACATGATAATCATGAGATGCGTGTGATGTAAGAACGTTACTACTTGCCACGCTTACAATGCACTCGCAGGCATTTCGCTAGCTTCACATATCTTAAATTCGGTATTACGTGACGCGAATGGACGGGGAAGGTAAATGACAGGTCCAAGAATGTAATCATGATATGTGTGTCATGTGAAACATGACTACATGCTACGATTAGAGTGAACTCGCGGCCGTATTCCTAGCTTCAATATACCGAATTTGGTGTTAGGTGACGTCACTGCCTGACGAAGATATATGACTGGTGCGAACGTGATGATAATTATATGTGTTTCATGCTAGAACATAACATACGACGCTCATGATGTATTCGCAGCCTTTTCGCTAGCTTCACATACGAAATTTGGTAATACGTGACGTGAATGGATGACGAAGGTAAATAACACGCCTAAACATGATAATCATGCTATGGAAGCCATGTTCGGTATAATTTAGGTCTGCCTCGTTACGTTGCGCTGATTTTAAAGTGACATATCAACCTTAGTCACTCGTACATGCTTCGCATGCCATCTATTCGCATTGTATGTGATCTGCAAATTTCTTTTAAGACCATAATTTTTTTTGGGGATACTTCTACGCAGAATTTCTTTGATTTGCGTGTGTGTGCGGGTGTGCGTGTGGATCACCAGATTGAATAGACTGGTGAAAATTGCACCTCTTCCTGAGCGACCAGCAATCTTGATCTGGTTTTGCATTCATAGGTTCTAACATTGTCAATAAAAAAAACAAATATTACCCATATTTTGGCGCATCATCAGTACGGGGTCGTCTCTTAGTATATATCTCTATTTATAAAATGCGCAGTTACGTAGTTTTAAAAACCGCAGCGCTTATTACGCGGTGCTGGCAATGCAATGCTATGATCGAAAAAACAAGTGTTTCACTGGCTGGATGCTTCACTGGTGGTGCCTAGCGCCCCCTAGCCGTAGTACTTAGTGAACAATAACTATATTTATCGCTTTCTTTGTTTAATTACTGAAGTTAAGGACTAGCACTTTGTAGTGAAGGATTTATTTTCTTGATTGCTTTGATTGTAGTCACCACTCAGATAACCCCCTACAACGTATTTATACTTGTTTAAAGTCTATTTTACCCTCGCTGTCCCTAAACCCCAGTGCTCTGAAAAACTCTGCGCCATCATCCTGAACTATAGGATGAAGCCCTTTACAGAACATTATCAAGTTTTATGCAGTTTCCTTCTCCTCTCGACACGCACTGCATACCGTGTCTACACTTTAGTATTTGGCCCGATAGGTCTTGGTTCGCAATACTCCCGTCCTGCCCTCGAACAGTAGAGAACTACCCCAAAAATTATCGTAGATCCTTTCCTTGGCAATTTCCTGCTTGAATGTTCCTACTTAAAACTAAAACTTCGTGTGGCTAACACCTACCAGTGACTTTGAATTCTCCAAAAACTTTGTTTCTTGAAATGACTGCTAGATGACGTTTATATCGCACGCAGTGCCTCCTTAACGATTTTCTTGCGCAGAACGTCAAGTAAACGTTTTATTATTGCGACAGCAATTTATAGGTACCCTCTCCGCTGAATTTTACCGCCGACGTCGACGTGGGCGTCGCCGTCACTCATCGTATATGTATAAGTATCTATATATAAGAAAACGCAAAAAAAAAAAAGAAAAAGGCTAAAAAAGACTCCGGCGCGCGATATCGAACGTGGAACCTCTGAGTCGCGAATGCGAGGCGTTAACCACGGACGTGGTCTGTGTCATTTGTACCTTCGTCAGTTTATGACGAAGGTACAATCGGTTTATGTTTTTTTTAAATAATCGAGACCCATTCATACGTACTGTTAAACAGCTTAGGCTTGGAAGATGGTTGCCAGAATTTGTGGTAGCATCTGGTTACATGAAAGCAAGAATTAGGGGTTTCCTAAAAGAAGTTAATTCATGTTTATTTCTCAAAACGCGTTTTTCTTTGGAATACCTCAGCAAGGTTTCGCGTAAAAAGTTGTACAAAAATGTAGTAGCAACAGTTCTTCCTGTTCTCCTATATAGAACATTATACCGTGTAGGCCCAGGCCAGAATTTCTTAAGCCGCGTAAAATAAATGGAGGTATCACCTGGAGCAAAATCCTTTTCCTTTAAATTGCACACTGGGACCTTGCCCGTGAAGACATGGATGCAAGATAAAGGCTTATTCGTTCCTTGGGGTGTTGATTGCCTTCTCTGCAAAAAGCCGGAAACAATTGAACATGTTTTCCTGGACTGCTGGGATGCAGGCTTTTTCTGGGATGTTCTCCAAAGGACTTTGAAAAAAGATCTGCCTCTTGATGCCTATACGGCATCAGATTTCTACCAGCACCAAATGCAGGAGGAATACCTTTCGACCTAGTCATGTTACTGGGCCTGTACAGTATATGGCAATCTAGAATGGCGGTGCGCAGTGCTCATGTTAATGCATGTTCGGTTTGGCAGTACTTCTTTCAATCTGTCTGTTGATTTGTGCAATCACAAAAGGTTAAACAAGAGGTGCCCGAATGGCTTCATCAAGTAGAAAGCCTTCTACAGATGAAGGAATTTTAATAAGCCTGTTAAGCTTGACACTTCTTACCTCTTTACTTTTGTTCATGTTTGTCCTTGGTTTGATGTACATTTGTTTGTGAATGTTGTATGTACACTGGCAATAAAGTAAAAAAGAGCCACCGAAGAACACTTCCTTGAGCGTTCAAATGACAAGCTATTTGTATCTACCACTTACCGCTGGTGATTGGCATCTCGGGCGGGGGGGGGGGGGGACTATTGTATTTTCAGCATTACCAGCAAGATGGCGCAATAGGGGGAGGGGAACTATCGCATTTTCAGCATTACCAGCAAGATGGCGCAATGAGCGTGCGGCAGCGTGCGTTCTAATCTACCACGCGTACTTTGCCTCTCATAGTGGAGAAGGTTTAGGCGCACTGCGCGCACTTATCTCGCGGTGGAGGGGGGACAATGGTACGTCTTGGTTGGAGTTGGGTTTTCATTAGAACGTTTCTGTGGTAGTCACCGGGCGCACAAAGGTCACTGCAGTCGTTGCACAGTCTCCGTTTGCAAAAGGGGCGCGCTTTTCAGACACATTGAAGTAACAACTGGCGCGCTTATCCCAGCTCATCTTTACCTGTGCGTAGTACGTTTCGTGGGGCACGTTTCCATCTGCTTGTCATTCAGCGCGTGATCTTCCAATTTGTTGCTATCACGTTCATTCCTTCGCCTTTGCGGCTAATCTGATGCACCCAGCTACCCCCTATTGTTTAAACGTTTTATTTTGTTTCTTCCGACAGAAAGCTACAGTTTTTCGCCAATTTTTGCAAGCGAAGCACGCAGACACGCCGCAGTTTAAAAAAACATATTATAACATAGCTATGGTCATGTTTGTGTTGAGATGACCAAACAGCCAACGCATATGCGAATCTGACCAAAGTCTAATGCACAGTCAGCATTTTTTGTTCAGTTTATTATCTTGCTTCGGAGACACTAAAGTTTTCTAAGAGCTTGTTGCAGATTGTTTCGACGTGCGTGCGCCATTTTCAATTTGCTGTGAGAGTCACACCAATGTATTTAAACAACATAAAACCTACTATACTCACATTGTCATCAGTATATGTAAAATAAAGAGGCTGTTTCTTCACTCTCAAAACATACCGGATAAAAAGGGTGTCTTTTTGTCCCAC